ACTCTTAGTCCCATCAATTTTATATATACTTTGCATTTTCTATCAATGTACATTTGTTTCTTCCTAGAAGACGGGAACTGTTTTGGTTTTTGTATCTCTAGTGCCTAGCCCTTTGCTGCTGCTACGGCTGTTTGTCCTTTGTTTTCAAAGAGGACCATGACATCAGAGAGGTGAATGACTGACTGATGTAGGTGGGTGTGCAGAAAACTAGGCCAAGGTCAAAACCCCCAAAGTTCACAAAGACGACTCACCTTCGGGGCTAGTGCCAGGGAGTTATGAACTGCACTTGAAAGCCAGGAGCCCCCAGGGTCAGAGAGAAGTCTGCTGGGAATAAGGTCAGGCAAACCTCATTAGGGAAGGATAGAACAGGGAGGGAGGGTGGGGCAGGAGGGGATGAGAGAACCACAAAACATCCCCACTAGCGTCAACTCACACAAGAATTCAGCCAGAGATAGCACCCTTTTACCAGAGTGACATACTAGCCACACTGCTTTATTTATCTTCTGCAGCTGTGGGTCCGGACAGCCCCCTCCCCCACCCTACCTCTAGTTCTCAGCTTGTGGGCAAAGCAGAGATGACTTGGGTCGAGGTCCCTGATTAGGTTACCGGCACCTCCCACTCCCAGGTTCTCTTTCATCAGGCCTAAATTTCCCTATGGAAATACTAGGCCTGTGCCTGAAGGGGCCCCCCAAGATTAGGGGAAGTGATTCTCCTAGAAACCCTGGGTCTATATACTGGGAGCATCCTGCCCTCTCTACTCAGTCCCTTGCTGCCTTGAACCCCTGGGCTCTAGGTGCCCACCCAGACTTGCTTCAGCTAGGAAACAACCTTGGCAACCACCAGCTGTGAGAAGTACCCTACCGTCCTCAAGCCTGAACTTGATACTTATCTGTGGACCCCAGTTTCTGCAAACTCTACCCTCCAGGGAAGGACCCAATATTCTTCTACCTAGCCCGTGGTCAGAGTCTTCTTTTGTTTGGGGGCGTTGGGAGGGTGCAATATTTTGTGAAGATTTTAATTTAATTTTCTTGAATCAGTTGTATTTAAATCTAATATACATTGTACTGTATATTGTTCTGTTCACGATCGACCTCAGTCTGAATGCAGCTTTTCTTTATTGACTTTTCAAGGCCTTCAAAGGGGGAATTTGTTTTGCTTGACTATGCTTATTTGTTATAAAGATTTTGCTTTGTTTCCTGTTTTTTGGGGGGAGGAGGATGGGAAGGTGAAAGAGAGAGAAAATAAATGCTCGTTCATTGGAAAAAAAATTTTTTTTCGACTTTATAAGGACTTGCTATGTCCTAAAAAGAAAAGAGTGTATTCATGGTTTATTTTTCCATTGCTATCTAAAAATAAGTTAACATGTTAAGAAAACTTTGTAAGTAAAATAATAGAACAGTAAGTCAGTTTTCCATTTTTAAGTTGTGACTTTTTAAAAGTTTTTCAGTATGACACTATTATTTTTAAATATAAAGGGAGCAAGACAGAGACAGCAGTAGATAAAGAATTGACCTCAGTTTGGGTTCAAGTCCAACCTTCAAACATGCTACTATGTGAAACTAGGCAGCTCTCTGACTCAATCCTACCCCATAGCTGTGAAGGATAGTTGGGGTGGTGGGGAGGGTGGACAGGCTTGGCATGAAAGGACACTGTGGCAGGTGGAGATTTTCACATGAGACAATGGTCATTCACCAATGCCTTTTTTGCTTCTCTCTCAGGGTCCTTTCCTGGTTTTTCCTTTCCTGTTCCTTCCAGACCTACCCTTTCACTTCTCCAACTTTGGGCCTGTAGCTTCAGCTTCTCCTTTATGACTTTCGGCCCAGCCCTCCTTGAGAGTTCTTGGCTTTGACCCCAACACCATCTTGATTGTTCTGTTTAAAGCTGTTTCTGATCACAACTTGCATGGTATTCTCCTTCCAACCCTCCCCCACCGAATTAATGTTTCTTCACTCTAAGTCTCTTAATTGCCCCTAACCAGGGCCAAATCCTCCCTCGTGTATGGGGATAAGGGGGAGGACATAACAACTTATGTCATAGTGATGTAGGTCACCAATGGAAGTTATTTTCAGAAAGCTTAGCACAAGTTTTACAATAACAAAAATCAGAGACTGAGTGACACATAAAATTTCCAAAGGAAGAAGGTCATTCTATCACATTCTATTAGGTGGCTCGGTCCCTGCTACCTGGTTCTAAGGAGTAATTTTCTTCTTTTAGTTTCACGTTAATCTTTCCTTTTAAAAAATCCTCAGGGATAGAGCACCAGCCCTGGATTCAGGAGGACCTGAGTTCAAATCTGGCCTCAGACACATAACACTTACTAGCTGTGAGACCCTGGGCAAGTCACTTAACCTCATTGACTAGCCAAAAAAAAAAAATCCTCAGATGGCATATCAATGTAATAGAATATGATTACTCCATAAGAAATAAAGATTTCAGAGGAACATAGGAATATTTGCATGAAGTGATGCAGAGCAATCAGAACACTGAAAATAATATACACAAAGACTGAAAAAAAATTTCTCTGAGTTTCTCTGATAAAGATCTCATATATCCAAGATATATAAGGAACTAGTTCAAATATATTAGAATGACCCCCAATAGATAAGGAGCCACAAGATATGACCAGGCTGTTCTCAAATGAAAAAATCCAAGCAATCAGTAGCCGTGTGAAAAAATGTTACCAATCATTAATAATTAGAGAAATGCAAATTAAAACAACTCTGATATTGAAGCATGCTATTTTCACTTTTTAAAAATTTTTTCTTTTTTCTTTTTCATGGTTTTCCCCTTTTGTTCTGATTCTTCTTTCACAACATGACTAATGTGGAAATACGTTTAACATGATTGCATATGTATAACCTATATCAGATTGCTTGTTGTCTTGGGGAAGAGGGTGAGGAAGGAGGGAGAAAAATTTGGAACTCAAAATTTTACAAAAATGAATGTTGAAAACTATTATTACATGTAATTGAAAAAATACTATTAAGGAAAAAAATAAAATTGAATACAAATTTTAAAAAAAGCAACTCTGAGGTTCTACCTTACACCTATCAGATTGGCAAAAATGCCAAAAAAAAAAGGAATAAATACTATTTTTGTAAGGAATCAGTAAGAGAAGACAGGCACTGTCAGTGGAGTCAATGTGGCCATTTTGGAACCGTGCCCAAAAAGTCATTAAATTGTGCATTACCCTTTGACCCTGAAATACCACTACCACTACCACTACAATACCCCCAAAGAGATCAAAGAAAGAAGAAAAATGCATACAAAGAACACTATTTCTAGTTATTTTTTTTTTTTGGTGGCGGAAAAGAACTGGAAACTAAGGGGATGCCCCTCAGCTGGAGAGTGGTTGCACAAATTATGGTAGATGAATGTAATGGAACACAGCTGAGCTGTAAGAAACCCCAAAAGGGATGGTTTCAGAGAAAACTGGGAGGGAAGACTTGTATGAACTGATTCAGAGTGAAATGAACAGAACTCAGAAAGCAATTTCTATAATAACAACCATATTGTAAAGGCAAACAACTCTGAAACACTTAAAAACTGATTAATGCAGTGACCAACTCCAAAGGGACCAATGACGAAGCATGCTGCCCAAGTCCTAACAGAAGTTTGAGAGACCCAGGATACAGAATGAAGCCTACATTTTTGGACATGGCAAATATGTGGATTAGTCTTGCTTGACTATGCTTATTTGTTATAAGCATTGTATTTTTCTTTTTCCTTTTTTAATGGAGAAGGGGTGAGGTTGAAAGGGAGACAAGGATTAGCAATAGTGTTGCCATTAAAAAAAAAAGAGGAAAAGAAACAGAAGTAGGTTATTGAAGGATTTTTTCTAAATGCACAGAAGACAATAGAGGAAACTGAGAAACATAGACAAGCAGAACAGCCTTGAAAGTAACATGTTGAATTTACTATATACTTTTTAAAAAGTAAGTTATGTATAATTTATGGTTTCATATGTAATCCTCTTTTTCTGTTATTCGTACGTGGAAATAGTCTCTCTCTCTATCTTTTTTTTTTTTTTGGTGTTTGTTAAATTTAGAAGGAAATGGCAAATTACTCCAGTATTTTTGCCATGATCCAAATGGAATCATGAAGAGTTGGACAGGAATGAAAAACTGAACAACAACAACAAACTTACAATAAAAAATTTAAATATTAAATAAAATTAAAAATTAAAATAAATAAAAAATAAATTAAATAAATAGGGGCAGCTAGGTGGCGCAGTGGGTAGAGCACTGGTCCTGAAGTCAGGAGGACCTGAGTTCAAATCCAATCTCAGATCAAACACTTGACACTTACTAACTATGTGACCCTGGGCAAGTCATTTAACCCCAATTGCCCAAAAATAAATAAGTAAATAAATAAATAAATAGTACAACTACAATCTTGTATATGAAAAGAATACCAGAAAGAAAGCTTAAAGATGCTTGATTGTAATGATTAATCTTGGCCTAGGAGAAGAAAGGAGACAAGGAATCTTCTTTTGCTGAAAAGATGGAGTACTATGGATGCAGGATGTTGTATAGGTTATCAAACATGGACATTGGGTCAGTTGATTTTTATTAATTATTTTTCTTTGTTACCTAGGAAGTCTCATTGGGTGAGGAGCTGGGGGTATGAAGTTGGAATATTGGGAAATGGCTGATGTTTAAAACTTTTCTTTTTTTAAGCTCATAACTAACTTCTCTATTTCCTTTTCCCCAAAATACTCTCCTAGATCATGGCAGAAGGTTGGACAACCTGACCTTTAAAACCCACTTCGAGGTTAGGCAGCACAAGGCTTTTGGAAAGCATGCTTTTAATCAAAATATTTCAAGAGTACTTACTATGGAATATGGAAGTCTAAGGTCTGGTCTCTGACCTTGGGAGCTCACAGTCTAGTGGGCAGAGGACTTAGTTGTTGTCCTTTGTTCTCGAAGAGGACCAAAATGACATCACCATGCTAGAGTCAAGTTACAGCGTGTCCCCCTGTGGCTGATCAGACCAATACAAGCTCGGAATGTTCGACCACAGCTCGGGCACAAACGGCCCATGTGAACATTTGGGGTGGATTCGCTAAATGTGAGCATCTCAGGTTTCTTTTGAATTACTTCAATTCTGCTTTGCTCATAGAGCACAGCACCTTCCCTGATAAGAACTAAGAAATACTGAATGAACCACATGCTCTGTGCTCCTGGTGGGTTTGTTTGTTTTTCCTACACTTATGATTTTATTACTTTAAGAAGCCCCTAGTGAGCAAATGCACCAAAGGTGGAACTTGATGTCAATTCTTGCCAACTCCTTGGCCAGTTCAGTATCTAACACACCATGCTGCCTCTAATTTACTAAAGTTTTTTACTTGTCCTGGGAAATTATAAAATAGGAACCAATACTTCTCTTTAGTTCAGCTTGAGCCACCAGATGCAATTTTCCCTAGTGAATTTTTGTATTACAGTTGTGAAATCTATTTCTCTATCTCAGGCATATTTTCCTATTATCTCTGCTGTCTGAGTAATGAAGCACATAGATCAGTAATGCAATAGTTAATCACATTTATTTTAGAAAACTGACTTTTACACAAAACAATAAGGAAATGGGAAGCAAACACACACTTAACAAATGGGCATGGGTCAGCAAGGTGGCACAGTGAATAGAACACTGGCCCTGGAGTCAAGAGGACACAGGTTCAAATCCAGCCCCAGGCTGTGAGATCCTGGGCAAGTCACTTAACCCTGATTGCCTCCAAAAAAAAAAAGAAAGAAAAGAAATGAGGATTAGAAAACAAATATGAAAACTTTTCCAATACGAAAAGACTGAGGGCAAGAAAAAATACATGAGGAGTTTTGTTCTTTCTAGTTTGAAAAGCGTTAGCAAACCCAGCATCATTTCTGTGCCTCTGGTAATACCTCTCATTCTGCTGTTTCTGCTCACCTAGTTTCTGTCTTTTACATTACTTTCCCAAAGTAATTCCTGCTTACCTCTCAGTCTCCATGTTCACTCAGGCTGATTCTCCATCATGCTCCCCTGCTCTGAAGTGGTGACCTCTGAGTTCCTGGCACTGCTGCTGGGTGGCAGTGGTGGCTCTGTTTGTCTGCCCATAGGGGTATCAGTCTGCCTTTCTGCTGGTCCCCTTGCTCCCTCCCCCTCCCAGGTATAAGCTCTTGAGTATCTTCTGCCCCACTCCATCTCCCCAGGATGGGAAGACAGTCTTATCAGTCAAGTCTGGCTGCATTATACTTCCTGAGGGGTCAAAGATAAGGATACTTGGCAATTTCCATTCTGACCTGCTGCTGTCCATCTGTAGTGCCCATAATTCCTCAGCAACCATAAGGAGTGTTACATTCAGAATGCTCCCAATGCCTGAACAATGACAACAGCAACAACAATAATAACAACTAGTATTTATAGTGTGCTTTAACGTTTGCAAAGCATTTTATGTCTTACCTCACTTGATTCTAGTACACTGTTGGCACTTAAATATCTGTTGACTTGAATTCTTTCCTGGTGGATTTTTTTGAATTCTGAGATGCAATAAGCTAAATCAATCAGGTATCCAAACTATGTCTGGCAACAATATGCCTGAAAGGTGGGGTTTGGGGAGTGGTGGTGGGGTGGGAACTAGGCTGCGTAATTGGGCAAACCAGACCAGGTTGGAATCAGCAGTGAGATCAGGCCGATTAGTGGCTTATGTACTCTCAGCCTGGGCAAGATTGAGAGAAGAAAGGAAAGAAAGGAAGAAATAAAGGAAGGAAGGAAGGAAGGAAGGAAGGAAGGAAGGAAGAAAAGGAGAGAGGGATAGAGGGACGGAAGAGAAGAAAGGAAGGAAAAGGAAGAGAGAAAAGAAAGAGAGAAAAAGAAAGAATAGGTAAGCTGGCTCGACCTTCCCTGATGACTCCCAAAACCGGGCAGACTGCCTTACTCAGTGATAAGGAAGACTGTTCTCATTTATAGGGACTGAACCACGTCCTGTAGGCTCAGAATTTGGCAGGATTCCCATTTAGTCAAATTTTCTCTTTCAGAACAACTTATTCTTCCTTTGCAGGGCTTTTCAGAAGCTTATAGCTTCATACCTCTGTCATTAGCACATGTCATCACCACTCCATTAGTGGCCATCCCATTGGTGGAGGCAGGATTTCCACTGGTTGCCCCAACATGTTTCTATGGAAGTCAGTATCATGACTGGAAATTCAGGTAGTGTTTGCACATGGGACAGGAAAGCTAGCTGGGGTTGGGGGGAGTGGCTTAAAAAAAAATGGTTTCTTTTGTGAACTTTTGTGATTTGTAGGCCAGTAAACCTGAGGCCCAGGGGTAGAGCCTTTACTTTGAAGCAGGCAGACCATAGCCCTTAGGTGAAAGAGTTGCCAATAGCATAAGGGGAAGAACCCAAGACTTAGAGTCGGGGGCCTGGGTTCATATCATGGCCTTAAAACTTACTAGTTAACTGTGAGCAAGTCTCTTTGAACTTCTTTGAGCCTCAGTTTTCATAGCTTAAAATGGGGATAATAATACATAGGGTTGCTTGAAGAAAACAGTGTGGAAACCCAAAAATGCTATAGAAATATGAGTTCTTCTTCTCCTTCTCCTCCTCCTTATTCATAGTAGCAACAGTACTATTAGTATTAGTAGATTAGTAGTAGTAGTAGCAGAAGCAGATTAGCAGTAGCAGATTATTATTGGTAGTTGTAGATAGCCAGTATTAGTATTATATTAGCACATTAATAGATTAGTAGTTGATGTATTAGTAGTAGTATTATATTAGAAGATTAGTAAATTGGTGGTGGTAATAGTAGTGATGGCAGTAGCAGTACTGATAGAATGGTAGATTAGTAGATTAGTAGTATTAGTAATGAAAATTATAATTAATATTATATTAATAGGTTAGTAGATTAATAGTGGTAGTAGCAGGAGTATTAGTATTAAATGGAGTAGTGTTAGTAGATTAGAAGTATTAGTATTATATTAGTAGATTGGTGGTAGTAGTAATAGAGTAATAGTAGTAGATTAGTATTAGTAGATGAGTAGTAATACTAATAATAGTAATAGTAAATTAGTAGTAGTAGTAAATTAACAGTCGTAATACATTAGCAGTAATAATATTCTGATCTATGACTAGTCTTTCTTGCACTGATGCTTTACAAACATACTCAGGATGAGACAGGTATAGAAAATATACCTCCTCTTCATTTTGCAGAGGTTGGGAATCATGGCTGTAGAATATTGAAGATAGTGTTAGACATTGTTGACATGGTGATTTGTTTGGCTAAACTGCTTTTTCTCCCTTCTTTACTTTTCAAGCTTTGTTACAAAGGATACCTCCCTGAGTAAGGAAGAGTGAAGATGTATATTTGAAATGAAGGTGATGTAAAAAGAAGAGATCAATAAAAATAAGATTGAAAACAATGTAACCAGGGTAAGACGCATGAAAGTGCCCTCACATGGACTTTTAAAAATTGATATCTTTTGTTTTTATATCACATTCATCTTCATTCTACCCAAAAAGCCTTTCTTCTTAAAGATTTTATTTATTTCTTTAAATTCCAATAATGTTCTTTTATTTGCTTTTCTTTTTTTCTTCTTATTAAGAATTATCCCTCTCACTATCCCCTCCAAAAGAAAATTGAACCAAAAAGAAAAAGAAAACTCTCAGAACAAATATGCATAGTTAAGCAGAGGAAATTCCCTTATTAGCCATTCTGAACTTAACAAACACCAAATGAAATGAGTATTTCCATATACATTGCAGAACAGAAGAGAAATGTACATAAAACTATGAATCTCTATTCTATAGAGCTTGCTTTTCATTTAAAAGGTATAACAACGTAGCTTTCAAACACGTGTCTTCCAAAACTCTCCTATTTGTCTGTGACTCCTTCTGGCTTTCTCTTTTGTTCTCTTCTCATTTTTTTTTTAAACTCTGTCACTACTGTTCCTCTGTCTTCCATTCCCTCACCCAAAAAAATGGAAAAGTGAAGAAAAACAAAACACTTGTGACAAATATATATAGTGAAGAGAAAACAAAGGTCCCATACTGGTCATGTCCAAAAATGTGTGTTTCATTCTGCGTCAGAGTCTATCACCTCTCTGTCAAGGTGTGGATATTATGTATCATTATTATTACTCTGGAGTTCTGGGTAGTCATTATGCTAATCAAAGTTCTTAATTCTTTCAGTGTTGTTTTTCTTAACATTGTTGTTGCTATTGTATAAATTATTGTCTTGGTTCTTATTAGTTCATATGAGTCTTCTCATGTTTCTCTGAAACCATCCCTTTCCTAATTTCTTTTGGCTCAATATTATTCCATTACATTCCTATATCATAATCTGTTAGGCATTTTCCAATCAATGGACACCCCTTTGATGGATACCCCCTTAGTTTCCAGTTCTTTGCTATAAATAAAAGAGCTATTATAAATGTTTTTGCAACATACAGGATCTTTCCCTCTTTCTTTGATCTCTTTGGAGTATGGGCCTAGTAGTGGTACCACTAGATTTTCGGCTTCTTCCTGTGTACTAGAGCCTTCACTGCTGCCCACAAACACAGCCTTCACAACCTGACTCATTCCTAGCTTTCTAGTTTTCTTATACTTTACTCCTCTCCATGCACTCTATAATCCATCTACAGTAGCCTATTTTCTGCCCCTCATATACTGCACTCCATTTCCCAGCCTTTTCATTGGCTGTCCCTCATGCTTGGACTGTTATTCTTCCTCAACTCTGCCCCCTGCCATCTCTGGCTTCCTTCAAGGCTCAACTCAAATCCCACCTTCTGTAAGAGTCTTTTTCTGGTTCTCCCTATTGCTAGCTTCTTGCCTTTGAAATTACTTTCCATTTGTACCATATATTTCTTTCTTGTACATAGTTATTTGCAAAGTTGTGCTGAGAAATGTTTAACAACTAGATGTTTGGGGGGAAATGTATATATACACTTTTAAAAATGTTAATTTTCCCCCAATTACATGGAAAAAACCAATTTTAACATTTTTTTCCAAATTTTGAGTTCTAAATTCTCTCCCTCCCTCCCCTAACCTCTCCATTGAGAAGGCAAACAGTTTGATATAGGTTATACATGTACAGTCATGCAAAACATAAAGAACATGAAAGAAAACACAGACCAAAAAAAAAAAAAAAGGAAAAGGAAAGTAAAGAAAAAGTATGCTTTGATCTGCATGCAGACTCCATCTATTTTCTTTTCTGGAGACGGATATCATTTTTCATCATCAGTCCATCAGAATTGTCTTGGATCATTGTATTGCTGTGAACAGCTATTATTTGCAGTTGATCATCATGCAATATTGCTGTTATTGTGTACGATGTTCTCCTGGTTCTGCTCAGTTCATGGCATCAGTTCATGTAAGTCTTTTCAGGTTTTTCTGAGAGCATCGTGCTTGTCATTTCTTGTGGAACAATAGTATTCAATCATAATCATATACCATAACTTGTTCAGCCATTCCCCAATTGATGAGCACCCCTCAATTTCCAGTTCTTTGACACCACAAAAAGAGCTGCTATAAATATTTTTGTACATATGGGTCATTTTCCTTACACATACACTTTTAAGTTAAATCTGAATTATTAACATTTTCCCCATCACTTTCTTAAGTTTATACAATCAACAAAACAATACATCAAGCCTTGATTTGTAGTGTTCTGCTGGTTTCCAAGGTATAAATGGTTCCACTGAAAACTTAACAATTGAGAGATGGCTCCAGCATACTTCTGGTTATTCGTTGCTCTCCCATCTCCAATAGAATATTAGCTCCTTGAGAATAAGGACTCTATATAATTTTTTCCTTTTATTGTATCCCCAGTGCTTAGCACAGTGCCTGACACGTAAGTACCAAATAATTGCTGGCTGACGATTGGTATAGCTGGGTCAAAGAAGATGTTCAGTTGATGACTTTTGGGGCATGGTTCTGAGTTGCTTTCCAAAATGGCTAAGCCAGGGGGCAGTGAGGTGGCACAGTGGATAGAAATCAGGAGGACCTGAGTTCAAATTCAGCCTCAGACCAAACATTCAACACTTACTAGCTGTGTGACCCTGGGCAAGTCACTTAACCACAATTGCAAAAAAAAAAATGGCTAAGCTGGGGGCAGCTAAGTGGCACAAAGAATAGAGCACCAGCCCTGGAGTCAGGAGGACCTGAGTTCAAATATGCCCTCAGACATTTGCCATTTGCTTTGTGACCTTGGGCAAGTCACTTAACCCTGATTGCCTTGCCACAACAAAAAACAAACAAAAAATGGCTGAGTCCATTCACAGAGAAGCTGACATTCAAATAGGGGAAGAATTATTGCACATATCCAGACAAGTATAATGTAATCTAGAGTATAATGGAGGCAAACAAAGATATCCAGACAGTGTGCTCTAGGAAAAGTGGAAGTAGAGAAAGCTTTTAACTAAAAAGATTTGGGAAATTTCACGGAAGAGGCGTCACCTGAACTGAACCTTGAAGGAAGCAAAAGATTTGAACAGGTAGAGATAAGAAAAGAGGACATTTCAGGCATGTGGGACAGCTTGCCTCAGGTGACAGGAGGTGAGAACTAGGCTGTCATTAAGAAACATGGAAGAGTCCAGTCTGGTAACAGAGGATGCATGAATGGGAATGATGAGGCTGAAATTGTGGGTTAGAGTCAATTTCTGAAGGGCCTTAAATACTAGACTAAGGGATTTAGCATTTTATTCTAGAGGCAATTAGAAAGCCATTGGAGGTAGAGGGGAGTAGCACAGTGAGACCTAACATTAGGAAAATTATTTTTGTAGCTATGGGAAGAAAGGATTGGAAAGGAAAGAGACTGTAGGTAGAGAGATTGGCTAGGAGATAATTTCAATGGCCAGGAGAGGGATAATGAGCACCCAAACGAGGCTTGTGACTAATCTAGGAATCATTTTTGACTCCTCGCTCTCTCTCACCCCCCCCAAATCAGCTGCTAAGTCTTGTCAGTTCTACCCCAACAACATGTTTTCCCACCTGTCCCCTTCTCTCCACACTCGCCCTAGTTTAGGCCCACCATCCCCCTAGAGCAGAGGTGTCCAACACGCTGGCCCGAGGCCTGCATGTGGCTGTAACTCTCCTGAGCGTGGCCCAAACCAGATTAAAAGGTAATTGGGAAATATTTAACAAAATAAGTAAAAATACAATAAAACAAAAGATAATATTACATTTAAAACTAAGTAAATATGTGACCCATAGAGATCCTTATCTATGAGTTACTGGTCCCCATTTCTGATTAAGTTTGCCATCCCTGTCCTAGAGTATTGTAATAGCCTCCAAATGGGGCTCCTGGCCTCCAGCTTCTCTCTCCTCCAATCCATCTTCCACACGGCTGCCAAATTGATATTCCTAAAGGACAGGTCTGACTGTGGCACTACCTCACTCAAGAAGTTTCAGTGGCTTTCTATTGCATCTAAGGTAAAATTTAAAATGACTCTTTTTTTTTTTTTTGGTATGTAAGGCCCTTTGCAGTCTGACTCTAATTATTTTTTCGATAGTGATTACACATTACTCTTCCTCATATATTCCACCTTTTAGTCAAACTGGCACATTTGCTGTTCCCCATTCACAGCATCCCCTTGTCTCCATGTCTTTGTACAGGCTCTCCCAAATGGCCAGAATGCATTCCTTTTTCCTCTTTGTTTCTGAAGCTCTCTGGCTCCCTGGAAGGTTCAGATCAAACCTATAAGAAGTCTTTTCTGATTCCCCCTGTGGTTATCGTCTCCTAAAATTACTTTGCACAGTTATATTACTTTGTACAGGTTATATTATATAATTACTATGTAGCAGATTATAGGGGATCTAGGGTTACATTATAGGGGACCTAGGGTTACACACAGCCCCCTCTCCCAGGAAGCTCCTTGAGGGTAGGGGCTTTGATTTTCGTCTTTAGTAGATACTTAGTAAATGTTTGTTAAATTAAATTGACTGGAGGGCAAGGGGAGGATGTGAGAGTTGTTTGGAAGGTAGAATTGATAAAAACTTGGCAACAGTTTCAATGCAGGGACTAAGGGGGAGGAAGAAGTAAATTGGGACACTGGCAACCTTTGAGAGAGATAGCGCAATAAAGGTACATTTAGTTGTTTCAGCCCCAGTTACCAATGGGACTGTGAAATTTAAGGTGGTACTTGTCAGGGAAAGAATGTTCTGGAAGATGTTGTGCCCTACCTCCCTGACCCAATTCCTTCCTCATATAATGGAGATATTTAGAGATTTTTCTGTCAGGTTTAGTTATCAGTTATGTATAGTAGCCTTGGTTACTCCTAGGTTTGATGTGACTGCTTTAGGGTGATAACTATTGAAATCACAGCTGAAGTTCCCACCTGATGTGTCATTTTAATGCTAGAAATACAAGAGACATAAGTCTAATAGTAAAAATTATTTAAGACATGAAATGACAGATAAAAATTAATTGAATCAAATA